CAGTTGGCCTCGGCCCATCGATCCAGCCTGTCCAGGTACCTCTGCAGAGCCCTCCTCCCCTCAAGCAGATCAACACTGCCACCCAGTTTGGTGTCGTCTGCAAATTTACTGAGGGCACACTCAACCCCCTCATCCAGGTTATTGATAAAGATATTAAACAAGACTGGCCCTAGGACTGAGCCCTGGGGGACACCGCTTGTGACCGGCCGCCAACTGGATTTAGCTCCATTCACCACGACTCTCTGGGCTCGGCCATCCAGCCAGTTTTTAACCCAGCGAAGACTACATCCATCTAGGCCATGAACTGCCAGCTTCTCCAGGAGAATGCTATGGGAGACTGTGTCGAAGGCTTTGCTGAAGTCCAGGTATACAACATCTACAGCCTTTCCCTCATCTACCAGGCAGGTCACCTGGTTGTAGAAGGAAATCAGGTTGGTTAGGCAAGACCTGCCTTTTATGAACCCATGCTGACTGGGCCTGATCCCCTGATTGTCCTCCATGTGCCTGGTGAGCACACTCAAGATGAACCTCTCCATAATCTTCCCTGGTACTGAGGTCAGGCTGACTGGTCTGTAGTTCCCCGGATCCTCCTTCCGGCCCTTCTTGAAGATAGGTACCACATTTGCCAACCTTCATATAAAAGCAAACTGCAGCAGAGATATTTTCAAAGGGCCAAGCCAGCAATGACTGAAGGAACACACGCAATTACAGGACATGTGCTAAAACAGTGCTAAAGACATGCTTATGTGGATGCAAGTCAAACTGCTGTACACCTAACCATTTAATTTGCCACTTCTCTTGGCTTTGGCCACTTCCTCATACCTGTGCCCCCAGAGAACTATTTCATGCTTGAATTAATTTAAATCTTGATTAATTAACTTTGAATTCATTTAAACTTTTTTGAATGCACACAACTTTCAGAAGCAAACACTAATAGCTAGGCACCTTAACCTAAATCATATGGTATACACGCAGAGTTTGACAAATATACAGAAGCAAGCTTTCAGCAGTAGGTAAGCAACTGGCCTGCTTATTTTTATATGCTTTATCATGAGAAATGTGGAAATCGTGGGTGATAGCATTTAGACTTGCATTGCTAAGATACTGACTATAACAAGACCTAAAACTCCTCTCTGAAGAAATATTTTAACATGGTCAACTACAGATGCTATCTGACAGACAGTCCCAGCCATGAAAGAAATCTTACCACCTGATATAGCTGGCCAAATCTCAATGGCATTTGAGATGTAAAGTTGATTTAGGAGCCATACATCTTTCCCACCTGCAGATAAACTACCAATAAACCACAGCAGAAACTCTGTTATATTCTTGACAGCAAGGGCACAGTAAGTCTCATGTATGGGACTGGAGTTTTTTTCAGGCTGCTTCAGCCAAACCATGAAGATGCTAACCTGAAACCTGCCCACAGCATTCTCCTAGAGAAGCAGGCGGCTCATGGCTTAGACAGGTATACTCTTTGCTGGGTAAAAAGCTGGCTGGATGGCTGAGCCCAGAGAGTTGTGGTCAATGGAGTTAAATCCAGTTGGCGGCCGGTCACAAGCAGT